ATCTATCTATCTATCTATCTATCTATCTATCTATCTATCTATCTATCTATCTATCTATCTATCTATCTATCTATCAACACACCTCCTGATTTTACAGCCATAATACCTATTTCAATTTTAATCTCTTATGGGTAGGATGAAGGTTGTACAAAGATCAGGAGGAGCAGAGATGAAAGGTTCTAAGATGCTTTTAATACCATCAAAAGTTTTCTAAATCTATTTCCAGAACAAGCCATCATGACTCGGCTCTCGAACCTGATCCTAATAAATAACTCTGTGCACAATACTAAACCAAAACAGACAATGCCTACTTGAGATCATGGCTTATCATACCACGTCAATGAAAGTTCCTATTAAAAGCTTGACACTACTTCTTCCTTTGTCCTTATTTTTAGGAACAAATTTACATTATGAAACAAGTTAAGTATGTTAGCAAGATCTGAGATGATTCTTCAGGATTTGCTTTAATGCTGGAAGGGTGAGCCCATGGAATGAAGCCCATTTTTAAAGGGAATAACAAAGTAATCACACATGAATTTTCCTTGACTTAATTTGTTGTACTGCCAATCACATGTTTGTAGTTTTAGATGTTTGGATTGTCTCAGAATCTTTACAACAAGTTTAAATGGAGATCTAATTGCCAAGAGTACAAACCAATCTTCTGCATGAGCAGTGGGTTGGACTAGAAGACCTCCAAGGTCCTTTCCAACTTTGTTGTTCTACTAATTCCTGCTAATACAAAAAAGAGTTAATACAAGAGTTTGTTTAATGTGCTCATATACTCAGTGGAATTTGTGATAGCACAGATCTGGATGTGAACTGGGCTAATTTTGTTTCTCTAGGGGGAAGAGAATAAAAGGCTGCTTCTCTGGGGCTATTTACAATGGGTAGAAAAAAATGACTATGACCCCCATGGATCCTAATCCTAGTTGAGAATTGTGTTTTAGGATGTTTCTACCGATTTTGTGCTTCTTCAAAATGCATACTGCACCTTTGGGTTCCCAGGTTCTCATCCTGAACAGATTTACTGATCCAAAGGAGAATTAATGCAAATCTTCTTTTTGAAACTCTAAATGCTCTGGGAAGCTTATAGTTGTGGATGATTTCCAATTGGAAGAAACTCTCTCATTGTTCCACCTGCAAGCTCCTGGGATCCCTTCAGTTACTTTCCACTTGCCCTAGATGTTCAACTGCTGTGTCATCACCCAGCAAGCTATCTTTCAAATAAATTTGAGAAAGAGACTGAAAGAGGCAGGCAGGGGAGAGAGATTTTAACGATTTTCGAGGCCTTGTCCTCTAGCAGAAACGGCTCAAAGGTTTTTTTTGTACAGATAGACCTCAACTCAATTAAAGAGCCTCTTGATGCGGTGAAGAAGGAGAGTGCAAAAGTTGGCTTGAAACTCAACATTAAGAACACTAAGATCACGGCATCCAGCCCTGTCAATTCCTGGCAAATAGATGGAGAAGAAATTGAGGTAAGTGACAGATTTTATTTCCCTGGGCTCCAAGATCACCACAGATGGGGACTGCAGCCAAGAAATTAAATAGATGCTTTCTCCTGGGGAGGAAAGCTATGGCAAATCTAGACAGCATACTAAAAAAACAGAGGCATCACCCTGCTAGCAAAAGTGTGTATAGTCAAGGCTATGGTTTTCTCAGTTGCAATGTATGGCTGTGAAAGTTGAACCATAAGGCTGAGCACCAAAGAATGAAAGCCTTTGAACTATGGTTCTGGAGAAGACTTCTGTGAGTCCCTTGGACTGCAAGGCGATCCAACCGGTCAGTCCTAGAGGACGTCAACCCTGACTGCTCTTTAGAAGACCAGATCCTGAAGATGAAACTCAAATACTTTGGCCACCTCGTGAGAAGGAAGGACTCCCTGGAGAAGAGCCTAATGCTGGGAAAGATTGAGGGCAAAAGAAGAAGAAGGGGACAGCAGAGAAGGAGGTGGCTGGATGGAGCCATTGAAGCAGTCAGCGTGAGCTTAAATGGACTACAGAAGATGGTAGAGGACAGGAAGGCCTGGAAGAACATTGTCCATGGGATTGCGATGGGTCGGCACAACTTCACAACTAACAACAACAACAAGACCTCAACATACAGCCATTTATTTAGTGGCTATTCAAAGCTACAAATGACCACTTTTCACATTTATGACTGGGATCATGATTTATGACTGTTTTTCACCCTTATGATCATGATCATAATCAGCAGTTCCAAGAAGGCTCCACGCCCATTTGCACCACTCAGGTGACCCTGAGGACACAGATAAACCTCCAGGTAGCTTCAACAACTCTCTAAAAGAATGCAAATGACCAAGGAGTATAAATCCTTCTCTTCCCCACCATTCAGTGGTCAGAGCTGAAGAAGCTTCTTGGATGAGAAGGGAAATGTTTTCAAAGGAAAAGAAAACCCAAGTCCAGTTGCCTCTTGAAAAAGCACATTTGTGACCTTCTGATAAGCAAAGTCAATAAGGAAGTCAGATTCACTTAAGGACTGTGTTACTTCGTGGTCATAAAAATACTTAGATATTGCAAATATATGCCTGTATGGTGCCATATCCAGCAAATATAATTAAACAGTTGAACAGGGAAAGAAGGTTGGGAAATTCTGAAGAACAATGTAAGTTTCATTCATTTTTATTTGAGGTCAAGTACATTTATCTCAGTTTGCACTCTGATAAAAATTAACCAGTCAACCCTAATATTCTCCCTCTTGAACAGTTTATGTTCATTTGTACAATAAGAACAATAGTAATTTAATTGCAATTCCTTTTATACCTTGTTAAGTGAATTGAGTTAAATGCATATTTCAGTACCTGCCTGTAGTTTTGTTTTCGATTGTATCAGCACAAGGCATGCTGCTAAATTGTTCTCCGGTTTGATTCCTCCAATTTTATGGGTAACCATATTTAGAATGTGCAGAGTCGGTTAAGCTGTTTAAACTGGAATGAATAGTTCATAGGATGGACAGTTTTTAACATAGCCAAAATAGATAATACAATCCTTGTTTGTATAAACAGAGCAGAGGTGGTATTCAGCAGGTTCTGACCAGTTCTGGAGAACCGGTAGCGGAAATTTTGAATAGTTTGGAGAATTGGCAAATACTGCCTCTGACTGGCCCCACCCCAATCCATTCTCTCCCTCCCAGGTCCCAGCTGATCGGCTGGGTCTTCTTTTGTTGCCCTGCACAGGAGAACAGCTGGAAAGCAGGTTAGCGGGGTGGGGAGGGAATAGGATTTTGCAGTAACCTTCCCCTGCCACACCCACCAAGCCAAGCCATGCCCACCAAGCCATGCCTACAGAACCAGTAGTAAAAAATGTTTAAAACCCAATACTGAAACAGAGGCATAGAATCAAAATCACATGAAGTATTTGTTACCACTTTATAAAGCCTTAGTAAGGCCACACCTAGAATACTGCATCCAGTTTTGGTCACCACATTATAAAAAAAAATGTTGAGACATTGGAAAAAATACAAAGAAGAGGAACTAAGATGATTAAAGGTCTGGCCTGGTGACTAAAACATTTTTCTTTCTTTCTTTCTTTCTTTCTTTCTTTCTTTCTTTCTTTCTTTCTTTCTTTCTTTCTTT